TTATAACTATATGACGTCTGTAAGAGTATATATAATAGCACAGTCCGTGATATATTTGAAGGACCCTCGTACTTACATGTTTCTATATGTATTCTGTATATATGAAAAAAATTTAATATAGGTCGGATCAGGTATCTTGGAGAAAGGAATATCTACTTCCTATATAGCTTATCTTTAAAAATGAATCAGTGGCACAATCAAAATTGTATTTTATCAAATTTCTATGGAAATTCTGGGCTTCAAATGTCATATATAAATTATTAAGCAGAAATACCAGGCGAGCATCTTTGTTGAAGATCCTTAGAATACTTGTCCAAAAAAAACCACGATGTTTAACAAAACGATATTTTTATAATGACTAATCAATATTTGTATTTGTGGGATCCTTGATATGAACATAGTAGTAATTTGTGATGTTCAGATAGCATTTCATTAAACATTCCAGTGTACCATTTACATCGACTACAGACAGAATGGATGATCGTTGTTATTGGTTGGTTTTATTTTTTTAATTAATTTTTTTCTTAAACTCTTAAAGAGGTTTTTGTTATCCAAATCTCTGAGTTTTTCTAGTAACACCTGCAGTACAGTAGTGGAGTATATCTGATGTTTCTTCTTCTTTTATTTTATTTTTTTTTTGGCTTGATATTGGCATTATATTCTAGAGAATTCTCCTAATTTCTATGTCTTTATGTAAGTTTTCTGAAGTTCTGGTTGTCGCGTGGCGCAGTGGCTTGAGCGTCTGCTCTAAAATCGCGAAGAAAGAAGACGTGGAGACCGGTCCGTCGGATAACACCATATAAATCAAGGATGGGTGCCGCAGTAGGTGTTGACACAAAAAGGATCTCTCCCTGCTTAATGCCCCTGATTGCCAAGTATCAGACCAAAATTTGCAGCTTCGCATCTCAAGCAGTGACATCACTTATATGAGTGAAAATTCTCGAGGGGGACGTTAATCATACAGATAATCTTAAGTTTTGAAATTCAATATAGACTGACGATACAAAATAATTTGATTGTTGGAAGTCTTAAAATATTTTTTCATTGACATATATGTTTGATTATTTTTTTTTACGTTTTCTACGAAACGGAGAAAAACTCTGTTCTTTTTGTGGTCTTAGATTTGTTGCGTTTTTCCTTGTTTTTATGTGTATTTACTATTTGTAAATTATGCATTGACCTGTAATTTTCATGATACTTAATTTTGTCCTGTTTTGGAAAAAATGCGAACAATTTGATAATTCCATCGCAACCGAGCAGCAGGACACTCGTCGTTAAATATATTTAACTTAAAAGAGATCTGCTCCTTGTATAGGGGATGTAATGAAAACGTTGGTGAACGGGAAATATGGCGGACTATGCCTATTTACAAGTAGTGTTCAGCTTTCAATTGTTTCTTGTAAGGGTTGATACATTAATTTTGACGCAAATTGACGTGAAGAATAGAATACTGAAACGCAAAAGAAACACAACTAGCAGTGATCTACAAGTATTTAATTTTTTATCTAATGATTTTCAAAAATGAAGTCAGTAAGGCTAAATTCACTTTTCAAAACATTAAAAATTTGATAAAAATGTTAAATAATTAACTTTTGAATTTTAAAAGTACTATATGCCTGTTAGAACACCCTCTCCCAGACATTCAATTAAAGCGTGCAAGGCTGCTCCACAGTAAATTGCAGCTTAATTTCTACGATACAATACATGTAGGTTCATCAATTTAGAGATCTGAGCAAAGGAAATATTATTTGCCATTTTAAATGCCTGTTTTTCAATTGATAAGATCAAATTTTCTCTACCCTAACGCAGTGTAGAAAACACTTGAATTCCGCTCCACGGACTGTCATTAATGCATATGATACATTAAAGCCTGCTTTTTTGCATCAATAACTCTTCATCGCCTTTATTTTGGGATTTTCCAGCTAAAGATATGGAGATACGTATTTATGTCATTTTCAGGAAGCTTTAGCATCGCTACGAGAAACGAAAGGATTTTTTTTAAATATTGCTGCATTCTTTATGTTGAACAGTTACAAATCCTAGAAACTCTATTTTATTGCCAAGTGTTTTGTTAAACATATGCAATTTTTATATTTCTTTTAAGCAGTCCTAAACCTAACTTTCGGAAATGGTTCGAAACTCATTAAATCGTACTATCGATATGTAGAAAATTGAAGATATGAATACTTTTAAGATACAAAACTCTTCACTATATATCATTGTTTTCCTCTAAAATATGATGTTGCGTTTCTTTTGTGTGTCAATATAAAATCAAGGTCATTAAAACGGTTCCGTTATAATAATAAATAATTAATGATAATTTTAAATTACACCAAAAAGTGAACCATTCTACATAAACTGATGTTTGATAAAGATATATTAAACATTTTCTTCAAAAATGGACTTAACAATTGATTGATTGATTTTCATTTATCTTCCCACTCCAGATCTTTTTCATTTATATGAAGACTTGCAGATGGAGAGATGTAAATTTCGTCCTATACTTGGCACTAAGGGTCATTGAGCATGGAAGTATCTTGTTGTGCCTGCGCCTAGTGCGACACGGGACCTCGATTTATACGGTCTCATTCGAAGGAGCAGCCTCCACGTCCAAAAGAGGGACTAGAACCCTCGGCGTAAGGATCAACTCCTTATTTCGCGACTCTAGAGTGGATTTTTTAACGAAAATTCGTCAGAAGGATAAGCTAACACAGTTTCTGTGTCCAGTTTCTATGAATATCATGCCATGCAGAATCGTTTATGAGACACACACTCATTTTAGTTTTAATCAACAACTTCCAAAACACATTAAAACATTTGCATTAACATAATCTCAAAGCATTGAAATAATTTATTACAAACACATTCATCATGGATTATAAAAGCTATGTCACAATTTTACATCAGCATAATATCTCACAGATTTCTCAATTCAAGTGTTCACCTCCCATATTAATATCCATACTCAAATAGACGACAATGAGATTAAAAACGCTAGTAGTGTAAAGATATGCTTATACGATATGCTTTTTGCAAGGGAATTCTCCGATTTGCTGTGCCGCTCTTATGAAATTTATTAACTTGGTGTCCGGATTTTAATTTCTAAAACCTAGAACAGATTTTTTAAACATTTTAAAATGTCTTTTTACGGTCGATATAATGATTAGCATCATGACCAGATTTGTCTTTTATTCCGATTTCAGCACCAAGTTTAACAAGCAAGTGGAATGCGAAAGAACTTTTTACTGCATAGTGGAGAGGTGTACATCCCGCAAGGTTCTGTTTATTTATAAGCTTTCTAATATCTGCCGTATTTAGAAGAGGAGAAATATCGAAGAAAGTATGGAAGAACTCATTTTTTGTTAAGCACAAATAATGTAAAAGGGTATTTCCAATTACATCACTGAGTGCAAAAATTTCATTTTTAAAACATAAAATTTCGAAAAGTGATCTACCTTTTAATATCGGATTATCTGAACAAAACAGAAGAGGCCATATCTCCAAGAGGGATAAATCTGTTAAATTCCAATATCTCACGTTATCAATTATCATTTTCTCCTCTAACCAATTGTGGTCGCTTGTCGAGCAGTTTTCTGGAGAAAGGCATGGTACTGTGTTTGTATGAAGGTTCCACATTTCATCAGGAAGATCAGCAAGAATAATGCCGTATATATCAAGGTAGTTTCTGCAATTCAAAGCCTTTTCCATCATTCTATTGTATACACTATCGGTTCTCAGCAACTTTGGCACCGTTCTGTAATCACTCCCATTTAAATTACTCAGTAAACTGGGATACTTTTTGAACAGTATAGATACAATATCCTCTTTTCCTTTTATATGTGCTATACGAAGACATTCAATTCTCATTGCCTCAGACACGTCTTCTTGTAAAAATAATTCTATAATGTCTTGCAACCCATTTTCAATTGCATAAAAGAAAGTCAAATTCCCTTCTTTGCCTGACAATTTAATCAAATCGCCCTTAGAGAGAAGAAAGTCAGTCCACTGTGTTGTCTTTTCCAATAATGATATGTGTAGAAGTGACAGTCCATCACTATTTCTGTAAGTAAGGACATCACTGTATTTGTCCAAAATTTGGCAAATATTTGATTTACACTGGACAGATTGTAGCAAATACGAAAAGTTCATGTCATGTATGTGAACACCTTTTTTTAGTAGTTCGTCTGATATATTATAGTAGCCGTTAACAACTGACACCGTTAGAGAATCAACCCCATCTTCCGAAAGCATTTAGACATCAGCATCAGACTCCAAAAGTTTTCGTACAATATTTATATCACCATTGTAACATGAAACGTGCAATGGTGATAAACCTTTGTAATCCTGACTATTCACATTTCCTCCATTAGAAATTAAAGTAGAAAGAATATCAATATCGTGGTTCTGAGCAGCGATATGTAATGCTGTTGATCCAGTCTTATCTAAACTATTTACATTTGCCCCATATTCTATTAGTAACATTAAAACCTTTAAATTTCCATTAAAGCAAGCCATATGTATAGGTGCTCGTCCATCTTTGTCGAGCAAATTAACATGTGCCTTATTTCTCAAAAGCATTTCGGTGACATTTGAAAAATTCCAAAAACAAGCAAGATGTAAGGGAGTAAGGCCATTTTTTTCAGAGATGTTTATATCGATATTAGCCTGAATAAGTATGTCAACAATCCCTTCAAGTTTCTCTATTAATCCTTTTTTCATATTTACAGTATTCTATAGATCTGATCATATCTAATGTGTTATTTGAAATAACATTTCGTGCAGAATTCTGTGGACCGGTAGTTAACTCATTTATGTTCCCATGGAAACAACGTTTATATTCTCTTGTGTCATGTGTAAAAAATCTTTCAGTTTTTGGATTTCGGCATGCATGATGGAGTGCTGTTTTACTCTCCTTATTTAGTGCATTCACATCTACCTCATGTTCTAGAAGAAGTAACATGCATTCTTTGGATAAATTTTCTGAAGCAATATGCAAAGGAGTTCATCCATTAAATGAAACACTGAGGTCAGATCTTCCTGACAGCAGACTTTCTTTTGGATAAGAAATTCCAATATTTCTATTTTTCCCGTTCTACAAACAAGAATTGGTATTGGGATTCGTGCGATTGGACAATGATCTTCGTGGCTTTTCTTTTTTATATCAAAATTACAATACACACAATTATCATCTAAAAACATTTCTTCCATAAGGTAGTGAACACTTTCATCAATTTCATTGTAGTATTGAAAGCACCATTGAAGTATTTCAATATTTTCACTAAGAATAGCCAAATATATTGAACATGCTTTCTGATCAAATAATGTTTGAAAGAGAGTCTCATTTTCCATTTGAAACAGATGTTTTAAAAATGTTGACCAGTTGCATGCAATGACTAAATGAAGAAATGAAATGCGGCTATTTCTTATTAAATCTTCCTTCGAAAATGAAGTCATAGAGTCCATTCTACCTGATGATAAGCTTCGGCCTGTTTTCGTTAGTGCTTCATCCAAGACATGTTTATCTTCTAACAGAGAATACAGACAAGATTCAATCTGTGCTTTTGGCAGAGTTGGGTTTTCAAAAACTTCAATAAAAACCCCTTGTTCTATATCCTTCAGTATTCTTTCTACATAAGATGTCAGCATATTTTCGTCCAATTCTACCAGAAACAAATCTTCGATATCATCACATTCTAATCTTCCAAGAGGTCTAAGCCTATTTTGAAATATTTCTAATGGTGAATGTTGTATCAATGTTTCCGGTGATTGTTTTCCAAAGTGCCAAACTATTATATCAAGCAGTTTTGTATGTATTACAGAAAATGTTTGACCTATTTGCTTGATATACTTTCCAACAAGTCTGTTGACGGCTGATAATAATTCTGAGGGATTGAGATCTACTTCACAAGCATTGTGAATGTGTTTAAGGCACTCAAATTCTTCGGATGTTTCCTTTTTAGATAGATATAAAGCAAGTTTTCTACTGAAAGGGAACAACAAACTAGAGCACAATATTCGTAGATGATATCTGGTTTGGGGTCATCTATCATCAAGTCAAGCTTCGATACCAACTGAACGAAAGGATTGTCAAAAAAAGTTACCAAACGATCTGGATCAGCCCAAGCATTTACATACAGCTTACAAAGCAACGGGAAGCAATCAATATGCCTTTCAAGCAATTGCTTGGGGAAATGTAGTTCACACTGAACATGAGCTTCCAAAATTTGTTTTTTTCTCAATGGATGATAAATGATTTTCTTTGTTTTCTAAATTAAATATAAAATCTGAAAATATTTTAATCTTTTTGAATGCTCGGGCTGAGCTTAAAGCTAACCGACATGAAACAAGAAGTTTTGCCTTCACTTGACCTTCCTTTTCTTTGAAATTCAGACATTTTTTAATATCTTCAGAGTACTTTGCCCATTCATAAACATGTTCATTCACTGTATATTCACCACATGGATCATCAGCAACGAAGACTTGTGTAATTTTTTTTGTTGTGATAAGTCGTGATCTCATCAGGACGATGAATAGGTATAATTGAAAACCCTTCTCTTCCCATTTTAAGAGCGATGTGATGAATGATGGCAGACTTTCCTGATCCTGGATTACCGACTACAACAACACATGGATGTTCTTTAATGAATTTTTCAACAGCTATTGATGATTTCGATTCTACAAACACGTGATCCTCTTCTTCCCAGGACTCCAGTTTTCCTCAAGTTAATTCTATATGATTAAATTCAGGAAAATAAATAATACCATTTTCTGCACAGATAAGTAGATTTTATATGATTCTTTTTCCACTATAGACAAAATGACCCTCAAATAAAATTAACTAGAGATATTTGGATCTCTAATCATTCATATATACCTTTAGCGGTTCTACAAGTTATATTGCTTATTTAAGACTTTGAAAGTAGTTACCCAATTTCTTTGCAATTAGTGAAACGGGATTTTTTTTTAAATCCTAGATATGCATTTTAGCCAAAACCTCAGCCAAATTTAATTATTATATAAAATTCTATTCATATGTATAGGAAATCAGTATTCATATTAAAATTTATGAAATCAAATGTGAAATTCAAGAGTTTCAAGAGTTTCAAACTGATAATATTTAAGAATATTGGATTTGGCTTAAAGATCACCTCTAACATTCCAGGGTATCGTTTCTAACCGTTACAATCTTAGTTGTCGTATCTCCAGTAAATGCTCCAAAAAAAGCTCTCGCTCAGAGTCATCGATTGAGGTGACCATTAAAGTTTGAGCTTCATTTAGTAATGCAGAACCTCCAAGTCTTCCAATAGCCTAAAACGATTTGATATATAATGTGGATTAGATACAAATCCTCTGTATTGAAAATATTGATATTGATTTACTAGAGAGCTATTTGCAACATATTCATAAATCAAATTATGACACATCTTCTTTGATTTTCATTAATCATGCTTATGTTGTTTAAAAAAAGTTATTGACAAACACAAAATTTCTTTTTCGCTTTTCTTTGTGTTCCTGCTGTGGTCACTGTTCATTCACTTTACCCCCCCCCCCTACATAAAGTTCTATAAGGGACTGTTTTTCTTTAAGTACAATTTGGTTAGTTTTACAATAACCATTGGAATGGGAGCAAGAACTTTTACGGTATAGATAGGTAATATAAATCTCCCCTAGATCATTTACCTTCTACATAAACTATTGAATGACAGAAAAGTAGTTTTGCTTACCCCCTCAACATCTATCCAACTAGTATTAAATTCATTTGCATTCATCCTTGCGTCTGCTGAATGGGCCACCTTATTTCTGTAGAACTTTATTCTTGCTAAGTCAGCCCCAGTACTAACATCTGATGGATTGGGTAGAATATCGAATCCTGCTGTTGGTGCTGGTGTAGAGGGACTCATATTTCGTAAAAGACAGATTAACAATGTCACATCAAAATCTCTTGACAAAGGCGAGTGAACTAAAATAATTGAATATAAGACGGTTAATTATTGTGAAATCACAAATTTCCTGGGAGGGGGGGGGGGTTAATTCTTGTTGTTTCCCAATGAAGAGACTCACGAAGTCATGCCCACCACAAAATGTAAATTTTCATATGCCCAACTACTAAACAGTTCATCCACGAAATCAAATCCCCAAAACCAGCATGTTTTCTCAAACCACAAAAATTTAACCGCATGAAAATATGTGATTTTAAAGTTAATGAAAGGGGAATCTGTAAATGTTTCAACAATCAATTTTATATAATATTCAGAAATTGTAAACTTTCTGTGATGTTCAAAAATCGTTTTATAAACCTCTACAATTCACCCTTTAGAACATTCTCATGAAAATTTGAGCATTATTTTTTTTAAGTAGTATTGTATAGGAATGTTTGACATTTTCATTTCTTTTAGTTTGTTAATATCAATTATTTGTAAATTTTGAACTGAGACGGAGAAAACATAGCATATTCAACAAGATGACAATTATTTGTATGAAATTGTAATTGTAATTTACGAAAACCAAATTCTGCAAGACAAAATCAATTAAATAAATGCAAAATTATTTTTAAAAAATAAATAAATTGTTAGATTAAGAAAACGAATTTAATAAAGAAAGAAAGCAAAATTATCAAGTAAAGAAAAGTAATTATCAAATAAATAAATATATATTATTAAATAAGAGAACAAAATTATTACATAAAAATAAACGAAATTATTTAATGAAAAACAAATGAAATTATTTAAAAAGAGAAATTATTAAAAAAAGAACTGAAGCTAAACTACGGAATTTATAGATTATCATTATGTTTATTTAATTTTGGTAGGCATTACTCTAGTTAAAGCTATTTTACACTCTTTTTGAATACGACCATAAAACAAGTGAAATTTACCAAGATTGTCAACGGAACAGATTTCAACATTCTCGCTTACTCCAATGAGGGATATGGAGAACGGTTCTTCGGATGTGTAGATCAAAATCGATCTGCTAAATGCGGGCACGAAAAAGATCTTTCTCCGCTGCTCTCTCTCTCTCTCTCTCTCTCTCTCTGTACAATGGTCCTTTAGCTTAAACTTTGCAGCTCCTCGCCGGTAAGTTGTTTTGTCTCCAAAACATGTATAAGAGTGAAAAATTCTCAAGATGGTCTTAAAACAACAAACAAACAAAATCTAGCATTGCATGTCTTCCAATTTACCTCCAAAAAGTGTGTTCCACTGAACCTGGTTTATGACTTTTCTAGCCCTTAAGTTAGTCAGAGTCGGCTTCTCTGATGCTAGATCAGCAGCTAAGTTACTTGGAGGATGAACTGTATCAAAATAGACCCTCACAGCTTTTGGTACTCTCTTCAGGACCAGATTTACAAATCGCAGAAAGTTGGTTTCCTCGGGTGACACAATCGAGGTAGCGCCTGTGGTCAGACCTGTTGTACACCGGTGTACAATGAGAGTAGATAAAGCCATAACGTACTGTTAACTTCTTGTGAAATATTCAGATAGTAATATCTATTTCATCTGAAATGAAAGAAAAATCCTTTTCTATCTCTTAAACTTAGAGAGATATCTCTTATACTTTTTAAACGAGAGCTATCTCTTCCAATTGAACAGATATCTCTTTCTCCTTGAGAGATATCATTTTGGTGAAAAAAGATATCTCTGGACGTTAAAGAGATATCTCTCTCAACTAGAGAGATATCTCTTTTACTTTTGGGGATGTCTTTCCAAGTTAAAGACCTTTTAATGTACAAGAGATATCTCTCTTAGTTTATCTAAAGAGATATCTCTTAAAGTGAAAGAGACATCTATCAAAAGTGTCTAAAAGAGATATCTCTAAAGGAAAAAGAGATATCTGTTTATTGCAAAGAGATATCTCTCTTCATTAGTTTTATCTAAATCCCATTTATAATGACTTCTCCCTTTACCGGAAGTAAGCTTTTAACGGAAGTATATAAAAGTTATTTTTTTAAATTTCGACAAAGTCGTGATAATTTATTATAGCATTACTAAACATGACAAGTAATTCAGTATTTTTTTAGATTTCAAATTTATAATAGTTGATTATTTTATAAGCTGAGAAATTTCGGTCAATTGCATTAGAGATTATATGATTACTTTCGTTTTCCTGAATATCAAACTTTTAGCTTTTTTATCAACGGATTAAGTTGCCTTTATTATGTTTTTGAGATGTGGGTTATACACTTTTAGAACTTGAATAAATGAAGGAAACAAAAGAAATGAAATTTTAACAAAATTTAAGAAACAAAACAAAAGTAAATTTTTACAACAAAAACAAATAAAAAAAAATAATTGAATTGTCTGTCAGCTGCACGTCCCCGAGAGTGTCCTTTAAAACGCAGTAAATGAATCACAACACCCTTGCAGAAGATTTGAGTTCTGGTTTTGAATTTCCTCTTGTAAACGTATATTTTCTTTCACCAATCAAATTTATTGATTATAATTTCACAAATATCACATATTTTAGTGTTTTTAAACTTTCACAATGCCGTCTGGAATAACTTTGGATTGAATTGATATTATTTCAAAAAGGTGAATTCTTAAGGTTTCGTCAAAGGTCAACATGTCTAAAAAATATTTTTACAATAGCTCCGAAACTATGTGTGGTATAAAGTCAAAATGTTTACAGTTTATAAATATATCATTGATTAATAGATAGAAAGTATCACTTGATAACAAATATTTTATAAAAGATATTTTTGAGAAAAAAATTATATCAGAAAATGTGCATAATTATAGAGAAATCAACCTGCTTAATTCTGTCCTTTTTGTGAAAACCATCATTGCAGAAGTAATATATGTTTATCATTGAAGGGCAAGTTGGACGTGAATTGTCTCTGAAAGGCTGTTATTGAAAGCATGACATGTATAAAAACAAAACCCCTGTATAGAACCCGCCATTTGCAATGTACTTTCGCTTTCAAGTCTTAATATTTGGACAAAATAAACAGGGAAAACAACTTTCCAGAGGCTATCCAAGTCCAACTTGCCCTTCATTGATCAACATATTTTGTTTCTGCAGTGATGGTTTTCACTAAAAACATGGAATTAATTAGGTGCATTTTCTGAAAAAAAAAAATGCATTTTAAAAAAGATTTTTCTGAAATTAAATATTTTTTCCAAGTATTTTTTATCAAGTGATACTTTCTATCTTTTAATCAATAAAAAATTTATAAACTGTAAAAGTTTTAACTTTATACCTCACATAGTTTTGGAGTTATTGTAAAAATAAATTTTTGGACATGTTGACCTTTGACGAAACCTTAATTCAATATCTCCACATAACTTGAAATTGCTGGTCCCGAGGTGTTCGTCAGGGTTGCCCTACTCTGTCGTACTCTCTCTCACGTATGCGGTAGTAACTGCACAAACAATGCAAGCCTCTCCCTCTCACCATGGACTGGCTACTATCAGTGTAATAAGTTGTAGTACCCCGCCCAAGACCTGTTAATTACGAAACGGGACGAAAGCCCGAGGAAATAGGACCCCGGGGGAAAAAATATAATAAAACAAACATACTAAACGTGTAGACTCAAACAAGAAAACATATTTTACAAATTGCATTTTCAAATACCTGATGCAGTTTGAGTACCCGCCCCGGCTACTTCAACATAACAACAAGCCAAACAGGTCTTATCTCGGCTGTGACTTCCCGAGTGCTACCCGAACACGAGCTCTCAGGTAGATAAACTTACAAATCGAGGGGCTCCCCACAGGATAAAGAACAATATTTAC